AATAATGTAATATTGCCCCAATCCTAGTTCCATAGGTTTGGGTTGGTGCAGCGCTAACGCACCTCCATTAGAACAAAGCCTCAGTTGCCCTGCTGAAAGTGAAGTTTCCCCCCCTCAGCTCTGAATGATAGCAGGCCTCAATCTTCTGAGCTGTGTGTGCTCAGCCACTGGAAAGGGATTTTCAACCGTGCCATTCAGCCTGGGCCCCAGAAGCCTGCAGCCTTTATCTGCAGACCTGCTGATTGATGTGTTGTGGGACCTGCTGTGGTTAACAGCAATTTTATCTGTTGCTAGCAGCAACCGCTCAGGTCCCTGGTGCGCAGAGAGCAGCGGGGCCCAGGATCTGAAGTTGGACCACACACAGGGATAAACAAATAGATTTCTTAAGGTGGACAGCCCTCATAGAGGGGCCCTGACACACAGTGCCCCACCCTAACACCAGGACAGAGTCAGTGCCTCGGCTCAGTCCTGCTGGGCTTCTGGTTTCTGTCACTAATTTTCACAATGTGCAGAGACAGTGTTATGGAGACACCTGCAAGGCCACTGAAATGTAAACAGACAAGAGGAAGCAGACAGAACAATATCCTGGATAATAAGAGACGGTTAAAACACTCCAGTTGGTGCAGAGGAAGAAAAGATTCTTCCCACAAGATGCAACACTCAATTACCTTTCATTTGCTGAGTTTAGCATTTAATCCAGTGATTCTGTGTCGCTCTGTTAAATAAAGCGTGAAGCTTTTAATAGCTTCTATCATAATTAAGTGATATAATCCCTGATCTTGATAAAGATCGTTTAAAAAGCCTCATCACTCAAGAACTCAATGTTTTTGTCACAACGTGGAGGCTGTGAAAGCCAAATTAATTTAAACAAAGATGTTTGGGGACGCACGCGTAACCGTGGGATGGCTCTGTTCAGAGAGGAGACTTGTTTAGCGGTAAACGTGATTACGACAGCCCAAACAGGGGGAATGCAGAATGGGTGTGTCTGAGAGCTGTAAGCACTCTTGCTGAACCAAAACAGCCCAGCTCAGGTTTTACTCCCTGACATTACAGAGATAAACCCTCCCCAAACAGACGAGTCAGATTATACTGTCACAGACAAAGCTCTGTGCTTTTATCATCCATGAAAACATGAGCCAAAGCTTGGCCTTGGGTGGTGTCAAACGATGGAGGCTGGGAGACTTACGCATAATCACTTCATCTGAAAGGAAAGAGTGTTGTGTGCTGTTTTGTAAGCTTAGCTAAATTCACCCCCTCACCTCTTATAAAATGCACCCAGCCCAGAGGTAGCGACAGGATGGGCAGATAGCTGCAGAGAGATTTTGTGACAATTTCTGTCTCTTGCAGCACCTATATCGCAGGCGCAGAGGAAGATGTTGGGTTCTTTATCTAGGAGCCCCTGAGAGTATGATAAATCGCCTGTGCCCAGACACATCTCTGCTGGAACAACAGGCGGGGAGCCGTGCAGGAAACCAGGCGCAGATATTGTCTCCCCAGCACAGCTAAAGCTATAATGAAGCTTGCGCAAAGTAGACAGGAAAGCGCTGACCTGATAAACAATTCTATATCAAGTCTTTCACACAGACTGAGATAGTGAGGATCAGTCATGCTGCTGCATATCAGTTCTGAACTCAACGCTCCTTAGATTAGTCCTCTCATCAACCCTCCATCGCCTGCTGGAAGGGGGCCGCACATTCCGCAATCAGGTGAGAAATAAAGTTCCACATAAGCAACCCAAGGCAGTTTATAGCTACAAGGGGAAATCATTCCAACATGGGAGGCCACCAGCTCTGAAACAGAACTGTTTATTTGAGAGTACAGTACGAGTTAAAAAACCAAAATTAAAATTAATCTACTATCGGAAATCAATTAATTTGGTTGTGGAAAGTGTCCAAATTTTTAACATTGCTTTAAATGGGAAAAAGCTACAAACAAACATAAAAGCATCCATGCTACTGCCTCCTGCACCCGTTTAGAGAGCTGACATCACAAATGAGTGAGTCTTGGTAAGAAAACAGAGGAATGTTGCAGCGGTGGAAGCTAGGCTAAGCTGATGGGTTACTATAACTAGCTGGAAGCTAGCAAAATTAGCATTAATGAGCTGAGCGGTGATCAACTATCAGCCACTGTTTTGCATTTAAAACAGGACATCTCTGCCCAAATGTACAAATCTGATTACTAGTTCCATGTTTTGCCCAATGCAACCATGCCTCATCCACAGTAAATCGCATCTAATGGTTCACTAATTCTGTTTTTATACTGAAGCTGTCAAATCCCAAAATTCTGACACTCGCTATTGGATACAATCAACCTCACATCCTATGTTTTGAGATTTATTATCATTTTTAAAATAAATAGCATATATGTACAGGGACTGACATAAAGATTCAATGAAATGGTCTCAATCAAAAAAAGGGAAAAAAAAGTTTGACACTATTTAAAAAGAGCCCGATAAAGATATTTATGACACCAGTTTAAATAAATGAAACAGACCATAATGGCATTTTCACTGAACGGCACATTCTCACCTGTCTGCTTAGAAAAACACTTTTCAGTGACCAAAACATGTTTGTGACCCCTGGGCCGGACTCTGCCAGGGTTCACTGAAAACATCACTAGTACGTCTGTTCTAGAATACCGAGAAGGTGTCGTCTTTGGGGCCTAAAGGTGACAAGTGAAAAGGAGATTTAGTAAATAAATGCATAAACAAAAAAAAAGGTCCCGTTCATTTACACAGGGGGGGGGGGGGGGGGGGAGTTCTGTTGTGTTTCGGCTGTAACATTCATCCCATCATGTTCCCAGCTAACCCCAGCATAGCAGCTTGAATCCTTTCTGTTTAAGGAGGACCGTGACCAGTTCTTGAGGCCCTCCATCCGTTATTTGTCAACACCATCAGTGGCCGCTGGTACCCTGACATCCAGTTCATTTACCCTTCCTGACCCACCACTATGCCACTTACGCACTAGCTCCACTCCACTTCGCACCGCCCGCCCCAGCCTGGCCGCGTTCGTTCCACACTGCCTTAGGGATGTAGACGTGATTGAGCACATGGACGTGCTCCAAAATTGGCGTGAAAAATACAAATATGTGATGTCATGATTGCATTTCCAAGCACATGGGTGGGGAAAAAGAGCACAGAGATGTCTGCGGTGTCTTGCTTTTGGAGACCTGATCTGGTATTATATCCTGCTTTGTTGTGTCTGGCTGCACTGTGTGTGTGTGTGTGTGTGTGTGTGTGTGTGTGTGTGTGTGTGTGTGCGCCTCCTCACAGCAGTGAGAGACAGAGAAAAACGGCTTCAGTCAGAGGCTCGTTAACCCCACAGCATCCAGAATGATAATGAATCACTTATGTGGGAAGCCCCCGCGGACTTATTTTATCTGCCAATCGGAGGCCCCGCCCAATGGTAGGCATGGTTTTGAGCCAGCCAATCAGACAGCAGTGGGTGTGTTGGACCAGAGAAGGGCTCAAAAGACGTTGTGCATGGAATAAGGCTACCTAAAGGAGAAGACTCCAAACCCAGTCCAGGCGGAGTAGAGCCGATGCTAATGTGCAAGTGCCATATCCACCCTTCTGTAAAGATCTATCCAGCCCCTGGTCTTTCCTCCGATACCCTCTAAGCATCTGTCTCACACTTCCCTGTAGCCTTCCTGACACCCCCCCCCCCCCACTCCCCGCATACACACACCAAAACCATCATACTGTAAAAGCCTGAAGCCCTTACAGAAAAGCGGACCCTGCAGCAGAGCAGATTGAGAGTCAGAGCTCACTACCCAGGAGGTGCCTAAAGGCTACAGATAGCAGCATCACATATCAGAGAGGGAGGCAGACAACATGGAACCTTCCGCCCTGCACACTAGACTTTCCTTTGCTTGCCTCCTCCTCCTCCTCCCACACCAGCACCTCCAAGCCAACTCCACCTCCATGTTTGCCAATTCTCTCTCACTCTGAACTCCTCCCCTTCTCCTTCCAGATAAAGAGAAGCCCCCGTTCCCTGCCGACTCAAACTGGCAGCTCAAGCCAAAGGGCTGCAGCAGCTTTTTCTGGGGGTCTTGTTTGTTTTCATCCATCTGTGCGTGCGAACCCCCAGGGGGATGGGAAAGTGACATGTTCTATTAAAATAGCATTAAAAACAAACCGTTGCACAGAGATCAATGCCTTCTGAAGTCATCTTTGTTCAGTGCCATAGCTGCAGTCCTTTGAGGCAGTTTAAGGATGACAGACCATTTATAGTTGTTTTGTTTGTTTAGATGATTACTTCCGAGCCTCAATAAGACCTGCCATATGCCACTCATGAGTAAAAGTAGCACACTTTAAGCAGCGCTCTTCTCGTGAGTTTCCCTTTCAGCAAAGGACATGAAGGACAAGTGCTGTCTGCACTACCCTGGGACTAGACACATGATGGAAACTACAGGCGGTGAGCAGCGTAAAGCTACACTTTGAGAACACAGTCAGTTAAGGAAGCGGAGACTTTGAAGGGATAAAAATAGTTCTGCACTGACAATTAGTGAGCAGCTGTATGCTTTCCAAGACGTCACTTAATATTCCTTTAGGTGTGTTTTCATCTACAGGACAAACTCGTCTAACATTCTTTAAAGTATGTTTTTATACCTGAGGAGACTTCAGGTCTACCTGAAGGTGTGCAGCAAACGCATATTGGTTTCTACGATTATGGGATGTTGTGTTTATATCACAGCGAGCAGAAGAAATCCCCTACTGACAGTTAGTGCAAGAAGATATAAAGCTCTGACAGACAAATTGCACCGCTGGTGAGCAGCGCTGATCGATGCCAATAAAAAGAGGCACTTTTCGCCAAGGTAGCGCAGGACACCTTCCCGCAATTTAATCAGTCAGCCATTCAGAATTAATGGTCCTAATATCATGATTTTTTCTCCATTACTCTATTTAACATAATTAAAATGTTGAGCGGCAGGGCCATAAAGCGGGTCGTTGGAGATTGTAATTCTGCCGTAAAGCTATGAAGCATGAAAATGTCACTTACCGAGTAGCCGCGGCCTGACAGAGAGTGAGTGGAACTCTGTAGGGAGAGAGAGGAGAACACGGGTGACCTTTAAACAGTGTTTCACTCGCTCACACAAACATGATGAAGCAACATCGCTTTAGTATCAATATTCACGTTAACCTTTTATCCACCCTGCCCTGCGCCCCACACCTGCACTCGTTCCTCGCTTCAATCCAGCCCGACCGCAGGAGGAGTTCGGCTAAAGGGCTCCAACAAACCCCGTCTAGAACGCTCCTCTCACGACTTTCATTTAAGCGTGTTTATCAGTGCGAGTCGTAAATAAATTAAAAGCAAAGAACTTGAGTGTATTCTCTGTGTTTCTGGAATGTTTTGACATGCACTTTCCTGTAGAGATGACTGGTAACCAGTGACTTATTGTGATCGTAAAAAAGGATTCAGTTGGTGGTTTTTCAAAATATGAAAAAACAAATTAGTTCCAGTGGATATAAATAAAAACAGACACAGATTAAGATTTACTTCGTCTCATTTGACGAAGCCGTTTTTTGCTTTCTCCCCTATGTCGTGTTTTGTAACTTTTTTTAAGCATTAGCTTTGCACAGAAACACAAAAAATTTCAAAGTAAGAGCATGAAAATATTCTTGGTTAAAAAAGAAAATCCATTTTCAACTTTTTAAGAAGGTTTTTTATGAATTATGTGAAATTCACGACACAAACTATTTTTAAACTGTAAAAAAATGACTTTATGCCCATTTATTTATGTACTTTATATCTTATTATAAATAGTATTAACGTTTGTTTAGCATGTTTTCTGTAGAATGCATCAGAAGTGTTTTGGCACGTCCAGCTCTGCTTGCATTTTCTAACGCGGTTATTTAAATGCTGAACAAGGCAGGGTTGGGACTAAAAAAGGCTGGGTTTTCTTCTGTTCTCTAGCTCCGTGTGTCAGTGCACAGCACGAATACCAATCTCCAAATCCCTCCCTCCACTTCCACTTTTCACTGCTTTTATTCCTTCGTCTAGATTGGCAATTTCTCCCCCCGGTCTCTGGAGGGGACTTTTCTGCTAGACCAATTTCATCCATAGGTCCACCTTCAATCTGAAACGACCTCCCCCACACCTTCACTGCCACTGCCGTCGTTGTTCTGCACTTTCCCAATGCCCCTTAACCATTCACCCACACCTGCTTGAGGCATCAGCCCTCATCAACGCCTGTGTGCCCTTCTGATTTGCAGGACAGCTCCTGTGGTGCCGATTACGGAGGAGTCCTGCCGCGAACCGGAAAGCAGGCTCTGTGGGAATCAAAAGGCTATTCCCACTCTCCCCAACCCCTCTGAAGCCCTCACCACTGCCACTGCCAGAGGAGGAGTCCACAGGGCAGGGCAGGAACGACGCACAGAAGGCAAAAATCTGTGGACACAAAAGTGTGCTCCAGGGAGAATGTAGTTTGGATCTGTGTGTGCATGCTGTGAGCCAATTTACACATACATGTGTGTTTGCATGAGAGCTTACGTGCATAGGTGGAGGGTGGCCAAGGCCATTTGGTATTAGTCTTACTATGTATAGTTCATTCAACTTGGAGCATTCTGAGCAGAAAGAGGGGCTTATTTAAATGATAATGAGGGACAATCCATTGGATTTAGTGCTGGTGAAGGAGGGAGAAAAGAGGGAGGGAAAGGGGGATCCATTAAAACGCCAGCGGTTCATAAGCCATAGGGTCGGCATACAGCTAAACACTCTCTCTTAAAAGCCATTATACATGGCTCTCAATGGATTTCTGCAGCGCTTAGGACTTCAAAAGGATTTAAGAACCCACCCCAGAGAGGGAGTGTGGGGGATGGTGGCAGACAAGTGTGTGTGTGTGTGTGTGTGTGTGTGTGTGTGTGTGTGTGTGTGTGTGGTGGCTGTGGTGGTTGATGGCGAGAGGAACGGGGCGGATGCCTGCAGCATTTAAGGGTTAACTAAACAGCCCTGGAGAAGAGAAATGTTGCTAAATCCACCCCCTAATCCTCTCCCCATTTTCATGCCCCCTCCTCCACTCTCCTCACAGAAAAAATAAAAGAAAGGAAGAAAAGAAAAGAAAAACACGGCAATAAGAGGGGAGTGTCCAGTCTTCCTTTGACCCAGACAAGTAGTCTTAACCACTGCAGGGATGCAAGGAGGCAGGCCAGTCGGAGCTTCATGGAGGGATGGAAACGTGCTCCCCCTGTGGTAGAGGGATGAGACAGGTGGGTGGGTGGTTTTGGGTTCACGTGGGAGGGTACTGGTGAGGATGTTAGAGCCCCAGAGCAGCACCGTAAGTGCCACCCTCTTCTCTGCAGGACACAGATGCAGTGGAAGCCACCCCCTTCACCACCTCACATTTCCCTAATCCCCGTGTGGCTTAGTGACGGAGCCCCGCTGCTCTGCAGGCACAATCACCTAGTCAAAATAAGCAGATAAAGACCCAGCCATGGCAATGAACAAACAACATCCCCTGCAATTTTTTTTTACCCCCTGCTCCTAAATTGATGCATGACTGTTTTTACAGGCGGGCAGGCGGGCGCGTCCGCATGTCGCATTTGTCTCTATTTCCTCTGGCGGTAAGACAAGAGAAATCCATTTTACTCGTTGCCGATGCAGCATCATTAGTTGAGAGCTCTTAGAGCTGGGGAGCCACTTTGATGTGGTGGAGCACATTTTATGAAAATTAGCAGCACTTTCAGTGTGGTGGTGGAGATTTCATGGAGCTGAACAAAACAAGAAGTGTAAGAGAGCCGGTGAGGGAGGGTTGTTGAAGAATGCTGCTGCGCGTCACGCTCAGGCCAGCGCAAAGTGGGATACAGTCAGCAAAAAAGAAAGAGCAACATATGAAGGATGGAGGGAGAGAAACAGCTGAGGGAGGGAGATGGATAGATACGGACGCCGTGGCTACAGCGATCAGAGTCTGTGCACCATTTATTTGGCAGCAGATTAGAGAGACATGCCACATCTAACACTGTCGGCGATTACAGTGCGCAATTTTCTGTGGTGCCCCTCCTCCCCCACTACCATCACCACAACCACCACCACTGCTTTCATTCCCCCCCCCCCCCCCCCCCTCTCTCAGTACTTGTCGTATATCCCTGTCAGAGCTGTCAACAAGCGTTGGTCTTTTATCTGACAAGCCTGCCTCTTCCTCCTGACTTTTTCATTAGAAGACAGCCTTTTATACAAATTTGATAGAAATAGGAAGAACGGGGGAGGGGGGGGGGGCAGTGCAAAGTCGAGTAGAGCAGCTAAAAAGGAGTGAACAAAACCGGAGAACGCTAGTCTCCCCCTTTTAGATTGAATGCTGAATAATTTGAAACAATACATTTTAAAGGTTTAGAAACTGTCTTTTCCTTCCATCTTTTCACCTCCACCAGAAGAGACACTAGCATATTGCTCCTCTTCTCCCTTTCCTCATGCTTTTGTCGGCTAAATGAACTATCAGATTGAATTTAGTTAGATTTGGGAGGCCTGCTTGACAGGCATTAGTTACCAAGCATATTTTTACATTCATTCAGAATGAGACGCTCGGGATTTTGCATAAATTCTCATTACTTTCCCTGTTTCTAAATTGCATTATTTTATCCCTTCTGCTGCAGCAACGCCTGGCTTCCATTTTGATTGGCCACCTACTTATCTGACTAAATGGGCTGGCATATGGGTGCAGGTGAAGTGATAATTGGAACAATTTTTGTAACTTGTTCCATTCTGGGGTTGGGAAGGTCAGCCAACACCTGGCTGAACTGCATTAGGTCATGTCTGCGTTTAATTGCGCTAAGCCTTAAGTAATGGCAAGCCATCTAGTGGATCCTGTGTAACCACTCTAATTATTTCCTGTCTGTCCACTGTCCACCAACCAGTCTTCTTCTCAATGCACAGGAGCTTTATGAGGTGGGAGCAGGGACCAGCAGGAGCTCCACAGCATCAGCTGCCCTCTGATCTCAGCCCCAGCGCTGCTGTCGTCTGTCTGCTCTTTATATTCCACCTTGGGGGCTCCTTGTCTGAGCCTGTGAAAATGAAACCCTGCCTCTCTGGGAGGTCTGGGAAAAGAGGAAAGGTCTCACTCATGGACTCACCTCACTGAGCTGCTCCTTGGAGTTGCTCCTGTTTGGTCGACTGAGTTCCTGCAACGTTTCTTCTGTGCTGACCTTAACTGGGCGCAGTGCCAAGGGTTTGATCTGAAGTACACACAGAAGAAGAGATCATCTTCAAATAATTAATTAATCTAATTAACTAAATACAAACTGGACATACAGCTTAGGAAACATTTACCTGTGGTCCCTGCAGAGGCATTAAAGGTGTGGGAGACTCGTTTAATCAATACATTTGTGGTGGTCTCTAGTAGGAATGGTCATACTTGGGGGGGGGGGCTTGGGGGCCAGAAGTGTTTGCTTCAGGAATTAGCAGAATGCTACCATAGGAGAGCTGAACAGGACCGGATTTGGAGTCTTATTTCCTGATATTTGGACATCTCTCCTCTGATTGGATAACAGCAACACAACTCTACCACTGACTCAGTTAGCTCTGCAACGTTGATGTTTTATATCCACAAGTAACGCAAGCCTGAAGGAGTTCTGCTCTGTGGTGGAGTTGCTAATGCTAATGCCTAGCTACTGTTAGCAACAACGTTCTCTGCTGTTCCCTAGATGCTATACCAGTAACGGCCAGATGGGCGAGTCCATGAATGTTAATTCACAGTGTGACGTAGATCTGTGAGGCTTTTCTAATCCTGGAGTTTCACTGTCTATTTTCTATCAGGAGCTAATGCAGGAGATAGGTGTAGGAGACTATTTGTATCATGTTCAGCCTGCTTTAAAACTCATAGTGACTGTTTATAATCAGAAATAATCATTAAAGAAAAGGGTTTTCAGTGTTCCACACCTTTAAAGGGATTTTTCATACTTTAAAGATGAAAATAGTTTGTCTGAACGAATCAAGATCAAAGCAAACTGTTGCTGTCTATCAACTAATTTTTTAGAAAGGTTTTTAAAATTCCTACTGAACTTGAATCCTGGAGAGACTAAGAGATTTATAAAATAATGAAGCCAACCTCCTAATCTGACAGCATTCTGTTTACTTTAGCTTAGCATAAGCACTGTAACTGAATGGTGTCAGCATTTCAGTCATTCAATTCAACCATGTCCTTGCACCTTGCAGCGGCGGTTTACTGCGGTGCTCTGTTGTAATGTACTCCCAAGTCTTTTTAAATAACTTTTGTGTTCCTTACTATTATTATTTACTGCATCCCATTACTATTTTGTTTGCAGTTGGTGATAATTCAGGTCACTGAGAAAAATTAAACGATCATTAGTCAATAATTTTCCTGACTTTTTCACAACTGCTAGCTGTTACCATTAACAGGGGCAGCAGTTGTTCAGGAGGTCAAGCAGGTTGTTCAGTAATTGCATGGTTGCAGGTTCTATCCCAGCTCCTGGCAGAGAATTCTGCTTTTGTGTCCTTGGGCAAGACACTTCACCCTCCCTGCCTGCTGGTGGTGGTTGGAGGGATCTGTGGCGCCAGTGTTCAGCAGCTTCACCCCAGGGCAGCTGGGGCTACTCAGTAGCTCATCACCATCAGTGTGTGAATGTGTGTGTGAATGGATGAATGATACATGATAGTGTAAAGCATTTTGGGGTCCTCTGACTCTTTATCATAACTATTATTGTTTATGCTAAGCTACAGCAGACAGAAAACTGCTAGATTAGGAGGGTGACTGTGCTGGTTGCAAAATGGGTTTTCCAACTGATCTGACTCTAGGGAACATGGCAACAGACTAAACTCCACTTAGGGGTGGATAAAAACATTCATCAAGCTCTCTAAAATGGCAGAAAGGTAGTTTTTGTTTTAATAAACATTGTACATGACAAGAGACAGAAAAGAGGTGTTGATATGCACTAAAGTTAACAAATTTTATGAATTTAGCCACAAATACAAATGTTTTCCTGATCTATATCTGCTAAAAGATTTGATTAGTATGGCTTTGGGATAATTGATAGTGCCTGTGTCTGTACCAGATCGGCTCGGGGTCCTGCGCCTGCTGATGACATCACACTACGGCAAATCCACTCAGCTTTCACACTTAAGTTTTGGAAAAACATCAGCAATTGTGTTAATAGATTCTTGTTTGTTACCGCCTAAATGTTTTCTTTATAATTGTAATTTGTTAATAAAACACCATATTGTCTTTGTTTTGTAAAGAATGTGAAACAACATACAACCAACATCAGACTGCCCAAACAACAGTTCTTATATGTGAAGCCATATCTCTTTGTATTAATGTGGAGTTCCTCGATATTTTTCCTTAGTTGTTATGTAAATACATTCATTCATTCATTCATTCATTCATTCATATTGCTTGTTGTCTTTTCAATAAAGTTCTCATATTTAATTTTGCTCTATTTCATCTAAACCAAGAGCTTCTGAGGGTCAACGTTTATCAGTTGATATCTGCTTTTATTTAACATTTTCTTTGGAAACTCAAACATGTTTTCTCTGAAAAGTGTTGATTTTTGGACTACAGGACTACAACCGTTAAGACTACAACTGTAAATTCATTCTAACCAGTCAAAATCATCATTGTCAGCATGCTAACGTAACTTTTACGAACGTGGTATCGTAATTTGCCTAAGTCTTACGTTCAGCCAATCTACTGCAACGTAACTGGCAGACGCAGGACCCCGAGCTGATCTGGTACAGACACCTGTATTAGACGGAAAATGTAGATGGGGAAACGACTGACTCAGAAAAAGCTGGTCTCTTCTATCTCTCAGAGAAAATCAGCATTCACAGCCTTGGCCATCTTGGCTTGTGACTGCTTCTTGCCTTATAGAAGCTAACCATTAGCAATAGCAGCTCCACAACATGGCGATGCAGGTTCTGGCTTTTGTTATTTGTCGACAATCATCAACATAGCATTTTTCAACAAAGAAAACACATTTTACAGCTTTATGAGTTTTGTGGCGGAACGCAGCAGAATAGTAACGCTGATGTTAGCCAATCAGAAGCCAGATCTCATGAAATTATGAATAAAACTCACAAAGTTATTAAACTCTATTAAACTTCTACCCCCTGACACCGGAGGACATTCAAACTAGAGATCACAGAAAAAGTGTGAAAGTATGAGACCTTCAGAGTTCCTGTTTATTTTCATTTTATTTTTAATCACGAGCATCAGTTCATTACATGCACTGATCTTCAAATGACTTTGAAACCAGTTGTCTTCTAATCACCTGAACCTTAAAATGCTTCACTCGCTCAATGCAATAAATCATAGTGCAAAGGACATAAAGCCAGACAGGTTACAGTATTTTCCTGGTTTCCCTAGACGTTCTTGTCTCTTTATTTTCTGGTGTGACTCATCGTATTCTTTGCCTATGTAAACTGTGCTTCCTGACACAGCACAACCACAAATCCTTCAGCTGACTGTAAATGAGCCAGAGTCTTCCTCCCTTTGATCTGATAGCAAACAAAATGTTGTTCTAGAGCCATAAAGTTCTGTTTCTGCTTGCACTTTGGACAAATGCAAACTGGGACAGACTGACAGTAACACCTGGAACATGACCACCCATATCTTTATCTAAAGTTACAGTAATGTGACAGCAGATTCCTGGATTGGTGAGCAATTCCACCTTCATCGCAATGACAGCTGGTGCAGACCCCCCCCCCCCCCCCCCCCCCCCCCCCCCCAGTGACTCATCCTTGCACATGCTGGTTATGGAAGATGAACGAATGAGTAAATGAATTCTGCTTCTATTTGAATAAAAGATTTTTACTAATTTGTACGATTAAAAGTCTGAGTGCTCTCTGACCCATGTCATTGGTAACCCTGATGCCAACATGGATGGTTTGTTTTATTTCGGTCTATCACGCCCCACAGTTGGCATGCGTCCAAACTCTCAGCCAGATGGGAGGCTGGCAAACTCAGCAAGTAGGACTCAGGGATGGTGCAGGAGTAGCCAATCAAAACGGCCCATGCTGCTTCACCACCTTGGAGTACAGCAGCGATGGCCGCGGGGGTGTAATCCATTTGACTAGCAGTGAGCATGTAGTAGCTCCCCTGGTGGCAAGTGTGGTGTCTGGCCCTAGTCTCCTGATCTCCACTGTAATTTAAGCAGATCACTGCTACAATTAACCTTTCCTGGTAAATATCAATTATGGCCCCCGGCTGGGCTAGAATTAAAAGGGTCATCAGCTAATCTGACAGGTCCTGTACGCTACCACCTGGCTAGGAAAGAGGGTGGGAAGCTGGGCAGTAGAAAGAGAGAGAGTGTTTGTCTACCCTTGTGCCCAACTGCTTACATGCCAAGTAGACACAACTCCCTTTTAATTACTGTGCTGCTGCCAGGGCAAGCCTGCTGATTGGCTAGGGGCATAATGGTGGACTTAGGTCAGTAGTGACAGCATAGGGGGTGGGTGGGATGAATTTGGAAACAAAAAGGGGTGTGGTTGGGGGGAGGGGGGGGGGTGTGTACTACCTAGAAATCAGAATGCAGTGATGGAAGGAAGAGGGACTTGGCAGGTGGGATTAATCAGGTTTGACTTCCACATCTACCCTCCTCTCCCTCTGGCTCGCTCAGTTTCCCTAGACTAGCTGTCAGCCTAATCAGTTCTTGAATCTCAAAATAGAAGGTGGCCTTTTAGATTTCCTGCTTGCAAGCAAAACACAAAGAGAGCAACCCTCATTGGCAGGCAGGCAGGCGAGCACATCTGCAGAGACAGAGCTTCGAGGTACAGTCCTGTGTCAAGTGCTGCCGCTGATTACTTTGTTTACCCAGCATCAGTGTTACTGACAAATTCCTCAAGACACCCAAAGTGTTTCCATCTCCTTCAGGGCCCCAGGGTTACATTACCCAGTCTGCAATCAATTTGGCAATTGATCAGAGCACAGTTTCTAATTAGGCATCTAGGTTAATGATGCAGTGTGCAAGGACCATTCCCCATGTTGCAGTTCAATGGGACAGAAGAGCAATTGATCTAGGCAAGAATTCACCGTCTCTGACAAGAGATTGGCAACCCTGACTGCCTGTGATTATTTAGGACTAACTTCCTGCCTGGGGAGGTGTCTAATTGGCCCTAAGCTCCCAGATGCACAGCTGTAATGGAATGTTTTTTCTTTTCTTGTTTTCTTTCCACACATTAATATTAAAAGAACAACCCGTTTTCTCAAATGGTGACATAG